AGTTCTCCACCATGCCCTCCGCCATCAGCGCTGCCACTTGCCCTCCGTCTGCAAGCGGGGCGGTGGGAGTGGGGGGATGGGACAGGGGTGGCACACAATGGGTGAGGCAGGCCTGTATGGTGGGTTGGGCGCACGTGTGGGTGGGCAGCAGAGCAGAAGCGAACTCATAGTTATGGCAACTCAATTCCCACAGAACAAGAAAGATGCTTGCACCACCTCTCACCTGCAGCTCGATGAGCTTGGCGCCGTACATCTGCCGGCCCTGCTCCTCCAGCAGCGAGTTGGGCACCGCCATGTCACACACCTGCCAGCACCACCACACACCAACACGGCTTTAAGAACAATGGATCACAAACAACGCACCTTTGCCAAACCTCCCCACCCATGCTCTCCTCACTCCTCCATGCAAACCCACCACTGTGCTCCCCAGCCACCCCTCCCCCGGACCCCACACTCCCTCCCCACCAGGCATACCTCCCCCAGTGCGTTGACAATGGCGTTCAAGGTGGCCTGCTTGCGCTTCTGCTGCTGCTCCACCTGCCACGCCCCCGCCACCTTGCTGCGCACCTGCCCGCCCCGCCCCCAGAGGGAAGCACGGATGGGTGGCGGATGGGGCCGGGTAAGGGAAACGGTGGAATATTGAGATGGGTTGCGTGGTCTATTACAGTGGTTGTGAGAAATGTGAGGGATAGGAGTGTGGTTGTGCCATGCTCCGATTGCTCTGGCAAGTGAAACGGCATGGTGGTGTGGCAGCAGAGGGTGCATCATCCCCTTGTCATACCTCGTCAATGGTTGTAACTCCTGGGAGAAAATTCTCAGCAAGTTCGTCCGTCAGTTCAGGCAATTCCCTCACAAAGAGCTCTTGGCACTTCACCTGGGGGAGAGGAGGCGAGGAGTGGGGAGAGAGCAAGGGGAGGAATGGAAGGGGAGTTAGGAGCGAGAGCTGAGGCGACATGGGGTGGGTGCAAAGCTCTGCATAGAGCAATGCAGTGTGGTGTGGAAGGCGGTGCAGAGCGGTGGAGAGAGCAGTGGAGCTGAAGGCAGCACACACACAGTGAAGGTGGCGGGCAGGTTGCGGAGGGACTCGGTCTGCCAGGTGGGCGGGAAGGTGAGCTGGAACTCCCTCGTCTGGCCTCGCTGCATGCCGATGAGCGCGTCCACCATGCCCGGCAGCAGGTACTCGCCCTCCTCCGTGTCCAGCTGAAAGCCTGGCGCATGGGGAGAGGGGGGGGGGGGGGGGCGAGAGAGGGGGGAGAGGGGGTGTGGTGGGGGCGTGGAGAAAGGGGGCGAGGGACAAGGTGAGGGTGAAGGTGGGACGAATGTGCAGCATGGGTGAAGACTGTGCGCGGCTGGAGGGACATGGTTGGTGTTGGGAGGGGGCGATGGGAACAGGCAGCGAGGGCACATGGAATGATGGGATTGATGGGGCGCATGCCAGTGGATGTGCAGCAATAGGAAAGGTGCATGCATGGCAGGAAGGACGTGCGGGGGGAGGGGGAAGGCGGGTACCTTTCTGCGTGGCGGAGAGGATGGGGTCGCCCTTCTGCCCGTCTGCTGTGATGCGATGCGCCTCGATGTCCACTATCGTCACATCGCCCATCTGCATGCGCCCATGCATGCACGCACACATGCACAGGCAGACACGCACACATGGGTTACACCAGCAGACACCATTACGTTTAGCTGTCGCAAGAGGGGGACGGTTGTGCGTGTGTCTCTGTGCATGCACGTGCTGGTGTGCCCATAGCATTCGTGCATGCGGGCAGGGGTGTGCATCGGTGCAGATGGGTGTCTGTGCATGCATGGGCAGCAGCAGCAGCAGCACACCTTGAGCCCAGCGTCCTGCGAGATGTTGAGGCGTCCCATGCTCTTGAGCTGTGTGCGGATCTGCCTGTCCGCCGCCGCCCTGGCCGCCTCCTCCCCGTCGTCCTCCACCTCCACCTCCACCTGCAGCGCTGCGTACGGCCGCTCGCCCCTCCACTTCACTGACGGCGCCACGTCCACTGTTACCTCGTAGCTGGTGGGGGAGAGGGTAGGGGGAGGAGGTGAGAGGGGTGGGGATGCCGGATGATGATGAAAGTGCACTAGTGCAAGGAGGGGAATGTCAGAGCAGGAGGAAAGGTGCGGAGACGGAGTGGACGGGGAGAGAGAAGGAGCAAGCTAGGGAGCGAGCGGAGGGAGGGAGTGGCGCTGACGTGAGGGGGCTGTCGGGTTGGAAGGCAGCAACGAGGTCGTCCACGTTGGATGTGATGTGCTCCGAGTCCTTCAACGCCCTGCCCGCCACCTGATGGCGTGGCGTGCGCATGCATGCAACCGTGCAGCACAATTCCACAGCACTCATTGAGTCAGATGTGGGGCATGCACACATGCATGGCATGGGGCCAGCTTCATCAGGCGATGCAAGAGGCACAGGCCCCGAGGGGCAGAAGCAGATGGCATTGAATCTCGCAGGCATGTGGGCAACAGGTGGCTTGGGAGTGGGGTTGGGGGTGGGGCAACGGAAGCGAGTGGGGGTGGGGCAAGGGGGGAGAGGAGGGGGCGCGTACGGAGGCGAGGGCGTCGGAGAGCGTGGACTGCAGGAGGAGGTCGAGCGCCTGCAGCTTGACTGGTCGCTCGCCGTACTCGCGCACCAACAGCCACTCCGGTACCCTGTCGCCCTTCCTGAACCCCTTTATCTGCGCCAAGCCAGGGGGACGGGAGTGGGGGGGAAGAGAGGAGGGAGGAGGCAAAGGTGAGTGAGTGCGTGTGGAAGGAGGCGGTTGGAGAGCGGCAGTGCGATGCGGTGTGGGCAGACAGGAAGGTGGCGCATGGCATGGCATGGCATGGCATGGCATGGCATGGGAGTGCGGTGTGGTAGCCTCGGATGACAGAGAGTAGCGACATGTGATGAGCCAATACCGGTCACCTCAGAGCGTGCGCTGCGAGTCCTCTCACCGTAGTGGTGCGCATCAGCTCCTTAACGGTCTTCTGCCACGTGTCAGCGCAGATCGCGGCGGGCACCGTCACCGTCAGTCGAACCTGCTCACAAGGCGCCGCACCGCACGGCAAGGCACGGGGGGATAAGTAGGGGCGCGGTTGGGGGGACAGGGTTCTGCGCGCGTGTGGTTGCGAGCCCGCGCTGTTGCGTTCAGACAGCCACGGCGCGCGAACCCGTTCTCACTGTCGCCCTCTCGCCTCGCCCGCCCCGCCTCGCCGTGGCTCGGCGCATCTGCCTTCTCGGTGCGCGTCAGTCCGTGTCGCCCATCGCGTGTTGGCCACAAGGCGGCAGTCAAGATCTAGCCTTTCCCAGCCAGCTACGAGCCACGTGGCATTTCCCCATGGTGAGCGACGCGAGAGCTGTGGAAAATGTACGGGATATGCGATTTCTTTCGCGAAAGCCGGGCGGCGGATCGCCAAACGGGCATGCGAGGATACCAGCGTCGCCGCGGCAGCTAGCGCCTGCTGCGACGAGGGCATGGCGCGCGACACGCATGAGCGCGGCTACTGGCGGGCGAGGAAGGAAACGAACCGGTGCTGCGCGCAACTCACCCGCGAGTTCTCGTCCTCCTCTGATTCCGTCACCTCCACGCGCGGCTTCTCCGCCTTCGCCTTGCCCTTCGCCTTTGACTTGCCGCCCCCCTCCGCTGACGCTGCCGCTACAACATGCCTTGCACGTCCGCCAAGGGTCGCCGAGCGGCGTAGCTGCTTTCGCCGGCAGCATTCGTGCGAGTGGCTCTTTAACGGTGCGCCCAGAAACGAGCAGGCGGGCCGAGCATTGGTGGTGCCGGCAGCGGAAGAATGTATCGCAAGGGATACGGCGGGCGCGGAGGCGAGAACCTTGGAAGCCATGGTTGCTGATGAAAAGAGCGAAAAAGTTGATCAGGGCGGGAGATATTTTGGGAGCAGTTCAAGCTCTGTACCCGTTACAAAAGTGCCTGATATCTCCAAATCACCAGACAGCTACAAAAAAATCATGTTATTCGGAGAAGCATGAACAAGGAGGAGAATTTGTGAATGAAGCAGGGAGCCCTCATGAGGGAGAGCCAATGAAGGCATGGGATGACGTGGCAGTACCATATCGTGGTGGCAACAGGCTTCCTCTGGTCGTCCCAGCCCGACGTAAAATTGCGTTGCACAGTGCCAATTTCGGGCAGGTTTCGGTCAATGCGAACTGGCGATAACTGTTACGTCCCCCAAACAAATCGAGGCCTACAATTTTCTGAATAGCTTCTGATGGGATGAATGATGTTCGAATTCGAGAAAAACACCTTTCAAATCTTTTTGCGACTGCCGCGACCTCTTGCGTTGACGCCAGGCTGGCGGTCGATTTGTTCGAATTGACATCACGCCACGACCCGCTGAGCTGACCCCGAGAGGCGATTCGGCTTGGTGTCGCAGCCAACAACCAGGCGAACCTCCCCCCACATCCCCCCCAACATTCGCCACCTAGCGCCCAACACTGAGGAATCTTCCGCCTCTCCCTGCAATTCAGTTCCGCCGACTGTACAGCTGTTCGCTCTGCCCCTCCCCCGCCTTCCTCCCCCCGCACCAACCCACCGACTTCAAGCCACACATGATGTGATGTGATGTGACATGGCATGGGCAGTCTGAGACCTCGACAATGTGCGTTCTAGGATCTAAGAAACTATCGTCGCACAAGCTCGCTCGACTCTGGCTAATTTACAGTAAGAGGGCGTAAGTGCTCGCCTGAGTGCAGCGAAAGCATGCCCGCAGCGGCCGTCGCTGTGCTTGGGGGGAACGAGTGCATCGCAGATTATCCCGCTCACTGCGCCAGCCCCCCGCACCCGGCGCGTACCCCTCGCCGTAAATCCTCTTCCCGACCGCCGAGTTGCGCAGACATTGCTGGTAGCGTGGGTTATAGCGGGACGAGAGAGGGCGGGCCAATTATGGAAGCACGAGGCGGTTGGGAATACGCGGGAGTAGGTAAGAGAGGTAGCCCGGGGTCACGAGGGATACGGAGCGGTGAAGAGGTGAACATGAGAGGGCGGGGCGCAGTGGACATGGATGCCTTGTGGGCGGATCCAGCGGTGATTGGGGGTGCCGGAGATAGGGATGCGCGCGCTGATAACGGCGGGGAAGGCGGAGAGTACGACGAGGACGACGAGGAGCAGGAGGTGCCGGCGCTGGAGCGACTCGAAGCCGTGTCGCGCCACTCCACCCCGACGCGCTTCTCGCTGACCGCCTCGCCCGAGGTGACTGGCGCGGGCAGGGAAAGGTCCGCTGAGGGCATTCCCCGACCGCGCACCGGAGGTCCCGGCGCGCGCGGTATGCACGACGGCGCGCAGGCGCAGAGGGGCGACGGGGCGGTCAAGGTCCATCCGCGCACCCGCGCACTGCGCGCGTCGCACCACCGCCGCTGGGCGTCGTTCGACGGTTCAAATGCGCTGAACTGGGACGGGGAAGACATTTCGCGCGCGCATTCCGCGGAGAATTCGGCGCGGTTGCCATGGGGCGGCGCGGCGGAGCAACATCTGCCGAGCTCGCTGCTCCCCGACAGCCTGCTCCGCGAGCCCTCCGCCTCCGCGGTCGGCGCAGGTTGCCCAAAGCCCTCCGTGCGCCGCACGCGCACGCGACAGCAACGACAACCGCGGGCGAGCGCGAGCAGCCAGCTGCAGGTGCGGTCTCGAACGGACCGACTGGGCGGCTCGGGTAACCAATCGGATGGTGAAGTTGACGGCGGCGGCGCGTTGGCGGGCGAGGGGTCGTCGGACGACGACGAGCTGTTCCGCCCCACGCCGCGGCGCGTGCTGGGCGGCGTGGGAGCGCGGTCCGGCAAGTGGGCTAGCGCGAGAAGCGGGGAGCGCGGGTCCGTGCTGGCGGCGTGGCAGCAGCGCGAGCTGGCGCAGGTGGAGGAGAAACTCCGCCACGCGGGCGATGGCGGAGAGACGGCGGAGGGCGCACTGGCGGAAGAGAGTCAGAGGCGCGGGTTGGATGGACTGGGGGACGAGAGGCGCAGGCTCGGCGGGGAGGCCTTGTGGGGGAGGGGGGAAGGGGGAAGGGGGCCGAGGCGGAGGCGGTGGGCGCAACGGAAGGGGACGGCAGTAATTCAACGGTCAGGGGCGCACAGGATGGTGCGCTGGCAAGTGAAATGTTGACACGTGGACGATCGGATGATGCTGAGGTGGATGCGAGGGAGAATGGGCTGTGCGGAGGGGGCGATGAGGGAAGGGGGAGAGGGGAGCACGGGGAAGAAGGGGATGACGGGGAAGAGGGGGAGGAAAGTGGGGAGGGTAGGGGTGGGGAAGAGGATGTTGAAGGGCGGGAGGCAGGCGGTGAGAGGTTGGTGGAGGGCGCAGCGGAGCAGGAGGAGGCGGAGGCGGAGAAACAAAAGGGGGGAGACGCGGAGGAGGAGCGAGGGCTGGGGGACAGGGAGGAATTAGAGGGAAAAGATACAGGGGGGGGAAGCAGAGTGGACGGGGCGGAGGGGGAGGGGGAAAGCGAGGCGCGCACTGCAGAGGAGCACAAGGCGGAGGAGGGGGAGGAGCACGAGCAGGGCGGGCATGGGGAGGGCGGGTGGCCCAAGTTCCTGCGGCGCAATGCAACCGCGCACGCGGGGACCAGCAAGGGGGAGAGCGGGGGGAGCCGGCTGGGGCAGCTGCTGCGCAACGGGACGTTCAAGCGCGCGCAGGGGGAGGGCGAGGAGCGCCACGGCAGCCGCCTGGCACGCGTGGCCACTGCTGTGCGCGCAGGGCTCAAGTCCAGTGAGACGCGGGGGGGAGGGAACAGGGGGATGTGGGGTGGGGGGGGAAGGGGAAGGGGCAGGGGCGGGGGCGGAGGAGGGGGGAAGGGTGGGAAGATGGGGCATGGGGTGTGGGACGGCCGGAAGTGGCGGCGGGATGAGCGTCTCCCCTTCCTTTCCTCGCCATCCCATCTCACCAATCTCAACCCGGCCCCCGTGTGTGCTGTCTGGTTGGGTGCAGGCTCGTCCTTCAATGCTCGCAAGCACGCGCAGCAACACCCGCCGGAGCAGCGGCAGCAGCAGCAACAGCAACAAGAGCAGCAACAGTGAGAATATGCTGCCCCTCCTCCATGCGCCCTCGTCCCCGCTCCCCCCCAACCGATCTCGTTGGCACTCGTTCTTGCCTCTGCCCTCGCCCTCCAACCCCACCATCTCCCCCCATCTCCCCCACCATCTCCCCCACATCTCCCCCCCATCCCCCCCACATCCCCCGTGCAACCCACCCTCCACTTGTTACCCGCATGACCCGTTACTGGCCGCCCCGCCCCGCACCATATTGCACCCCTATTCCATCTTGCACCCAGCACCATATTGCACCCCTATTCCATCTTGCACCCCGCACCATATTGCACCCCTATTCCATCACCGTCACCCGCTCACCCCCGTCTTTCCCCCCCCAACCGCGTGCAGGGAGGGGAAGGGCTTTGAGGGGCTGGCACCACCCAAGCGCGTGCAGTTCCAGATCTCAGAGCTGGAGGTCAGGGGAGAGGGGGGTTCGGGGGAAAGTAGGCATGGAGAGGCGCATGGGGGGGGAGAGTGCTCGGGGCATGAAGCATGGTAGTAGCGATACTGTCGTGCATGGTGCTATCAGCAATGCCATCCATGCTTCAGTCGTCACTGCTGCATGGGGTGTGCTGGTGGTAGTAAGGATTGCCATGAGCATCCCCTGCACACGCCCTTGCCTAACACCCTCTCACTGCGTCAAACCCCATGTCCTCTCACCTCCCCCTCCCATCTCAACACCTCCCTCACTCCCACTCCCCCCTCGCCTCTCCACCCTCTCTCCCCTTTTTCCAAACGCCTTCCCCTGCCCTCCTGCCTTTGAATGAACCCTCTTTTCCTCCCCTCCCTCTCACAGTTCGCCACGGACGGCTTTGCACGCGAGAACATATTGGGAGAGGGAGGTTTCGGCACCGTCTACCGCGGCTTGCTGCCAGTGGCTCCGCGCGAGGAGGTGGCGGTGAAGGTGTTGAAGCAGCTGGGCGTGCAGGCGGACGAGTTTCACATCGAGCTGCTCTCACGCCCTCTCCGCCCTCTCCCCTCCCTTTCCCATACGCCTTCCCCTCCCCCGCCCGCTTTCCAGTTCGCCACGGACGGCTTTGCACGCGAGAACATACTGGGACAGGGCGGCTTCGGTACAGTTTATCGCGGGCTGCTGCCAGTGGCCCCGAGGGAAGAAGTAGCAGTGAAGGTGTTGAAGCAGCTGGGCGTGCAGGCGGACGAGGAGTTCCACATCGAGCTCGAGCTGCTGTCGCGCCTGGACCACAAGAACCTCGTGCGCCTGCACGGCTTCTGCTCCACCGCCACGCAGCGCATGCTCGTTTATGAGTACCTGCCCAACGGCTCCCTCACCGACCACCTCCACGGTAGGTCCTACACTCCTCCCCTCCATGTGCCCTCCTGCACTTCCCTTGTGCTCCACCGCCACCCAGCGCATGCTGGTTCACGAGTACTTGCCTAATGGCAGCCTCACCAACCACCTACATGGTACGCAAATGCTCCTCGCCCCCATGCGCCCTTGTGCATTCCCCTTGTGCTCACCCCTTGTGCATTCCCCTTGTGCTCACCCCTTGTGCATTCCCCTTGTGCTCACCCCTTGTGCATTCCCCTTGTGCTCACCCCTTGTGCATTCCCCTTGTGCTCACCCCTTGTGCATTCCCCTTGTGCTCACCCCTTGTGCATTCCCCTTGTGCTCACCCCTTGTGCATTCCCCTTGTGCTCACCCCTTGTGCATTCCCCTTGTGCTCACCCCTTGTGCATTCCCCTTGTGCTCACCCCTTGTGCATTCCCCTTGTGCTCACCCCTTGTGCATTCCCCTTGTGCTCACCCCTTGTGCATTCCCCTTGTGCTCACCCCTTGTGCATTCCCCTTGTGCTCACCCCTTGTGCATTCCCCTTGTGCTCACCCCTTGTGCATTCCCCTTGTGCTCACCCCTTGTGCATTCCCCTTGTGCTCACCCCTTGTGCATTCCCCTTGTGCTCACCCCTTGTGCATTCCCCTTGTGCTCACCCCTTGTGCATTCCCCTTGTGCTCACCCCTTGTGCATTCCCCTTGTGCTCACCCCTTGTGCATTCCCCTTGTGCTCACCCCTTGTGCATTCCCCTTGTGCTCACCCCTTGTGCATTCCCCTTGTGCTCACCCCTTGTGCATTCCCCTTGTGCTCACCCCTTGTGCATTCCCCTTGTGCTCACCCCTTGTGCATTCCCCTTGTGCTCACCCCTTGTGCATTCCCCTTGTGCTCACCCCTTGTGCATTCCCCTTGTGCTCACCCCTTGTGCATTCCCCTTGTGCTCACCCCTTGTGCATTCCCCTTGTGCTCACCCCTTGTGCATTCCCCTTGTGCTCACCCCTTGTGCATTCCCCTTGTGCTCACCCCTTGTGCATTCCCCTTGTGCTCACCCCTTGTGCATTCCCCTTGTGCTCACCCCTTGTGCATTCCCCTTGTGCTCACCCCTTGTGCATTCCCCTTGTGCTCACCCCTTGTGCATTCCCCTTGTGCTCACCCCTTGTGCATTCCCCTTGTGCTCACCCCTTGTGCATTCCCCTTGTGCTCACCCCTTGTGCATTCCCCTTGTGCTCACCCCTTGTGCATTCCCCTTGTGCTCACCCCTTGTGCATTCCCCTTGTGCTCACCCCTTGTGCATTCCCCTTGTGCTCACCCCTTGTGCATTCCCCTTGTGCTCACCCCTTGTGCATTCCCCTTGTGCTCACCCCTTGTGCATTCCCCTTGTGCTCACCCCTTGTGCATTCCCCTTGTGCTCACCCCTTGTGCATTCCCCTTGTGCTCACCCCTTGTGCATTCCCCTTGTGCTCACCCCTTGTGCATTCCCCTTGTGCTCACCCCTTGTGCATTCCCCTTGTGCTCACCCCTTGTGCATTCCCCTTGTGCTCACCCCTTGTGCATTCCCCTTGTGCTCACCCCTTGTGCATTCCCCTTGTGCTCACCCCTTGTGCATTCCCCTTGTGCTCACCCCTTGTGCATTCCCCTTGTGCTCACCCCTTGTGCATTCCCCTTGTGCTCACCCCTTGTGCATTCCCCTTGTGCTCACCCCTTGTGCATTCCCCTTGTGCTCACCCCTTGTGCATTCCCCTTGTGCTCACCCCTTGTGCATTCCCCTTGTGCTCACCCCTTGTGCATTCCCCTTGTGCTCACCCCTTGTGCATTCCCCTTGTGCTCACCCCTTGTGCATTCCCCTTGTGCTCACCCCTTGTGCATTCCCCTTGTGCTCACCCCTTGTGCATTCCCCTTGTGCTCACCCCTTGTGCATTCCCCTTGTGCTCACCCCTTGTGCATTCCCCTTGTGCTCACCCCTTGTGCATTCCCCTTGTGCTCACCCCTTGTGCATTCCCCTTGTGCTCACCCCTTGTGCATTCCCCTTGTGCTCACCCCTTGTGCATTCCCCTTGTGCTCACCCCTTGTGCATTCCCCTTGTGCTCACCCCTTGTGCATTCCCCTTGTGCTCACCCCTTGTGCATTCCCCTTGTGCTCACCCCTTGTGCATTCCCCTTGTGCTCACCCCTTGTGCATTCCCCTTGTGCTCACCCCTTGTGCATTCCCCTTGTGCTCACCCCTTGTGCATTCCCCTTGTGCTCACCCCTTGTGCATTCCCCTTGTGCTCACCCCTTGTGCATTCCCCTTGTGCTCACCCCTTGTGCATTCCCCTTGTGCTCACCCCTTGTGCATTCCCCTTGTGCTCACCCCTTGTGCATTCCCCTTGTGCTCACCCCTTGTGCATTCCCCTTGTGCTCACCCCTTGTGCATTCCCCTTGTGCTCACCCCTTGTGCATTCCCCTTGTGCTCACCCCTTGTGCATTCCCCTTGTGCTCACCCCTTGTGCATTCCCCTTGTGCTCACCCCTTGTGCATTCCCCTTGTGCTCACCCCTTGTGCATTCCCCTTGTGCTCACCCCTTGTGCATTCCCCTTGTGCTCACCCCTTGTGCATTCCCCTTGTGCTCACCCCTTGTGCATTCCCCTTGTGCTCACCCCTTGTGCATTCCCCTTGTGCTCACCCCTTGTGCATTCCCCTTGTGCTCACCCCTTGTGCATTCCCCTTGTGCTCACCCCTTGTGCATTCCCCTTGTGCTCACCCCTTGTGCATTCCCCTTGTGCTCACCCCTTGTGCATTCCCCTTGTGCTCACCCCTTGTGCATTCCCCTTGTGCTCACCCCTTGTGCATTCCCCTTGTGCTCACCCCTTGTGCATTCCCCTTGTGCTCACCCCTTGTGCATTCCCCTTGTGCTCACCCTTGTGCATTCCCCTTGTGCTCACCCTTGTGCATTCCCCTTGTGCTCACCCCTTGTGCATTCCCCTTGTGCTCACCCCTTGTGCATTCCCCTTGTGCTCACCCCTTGTGCATTCCCCTTGTGCTCACCCCTTGTGCATTCCCCTTGTGCTCACCCCTTGTGCATTCCCCTTGTGCTCACCCCTTGTGCATTCCCCTTGTGCTCACCCCTTGTGCATTCCCCTTGTGCTCACCCCTTGTGCATTCCCCTTGTGCTCACCCCTTGTGCATTCCCCTTGTGCTCACCCCTTGTGCATTCCCCTTGTGCTCACCCCTTGTGCATTCCCCTTGTGCTCACCCCTTGTGCATTCCCCTTGTGCTCACCCCTTGTGCATTCCCCTTGTGCTCACCCCTTGTGCATTCCCCTTGTGCTCACCCCTTGTGCATTCCCCTTGTGCTCACCCCTTGTGCATTCCCCTTGTGCTCACCCCTTGTGCATTCCCCTTGTGCTCACCCCTTGTGCATTCCCCTTGTGCTCACCCCTTGTGCATTCCCCTTGTGCTCACCCCTTGTGCATTCCCCTTGTGCTCACCCCTTGTGCATTCCCCTTGTGCTCACCCCTTGTGCATTCCCCTTGTGCTCACCCCTTGTGCATTCCCCTTGTGCTCACCCCTTGTGCATTCCCCTTGTGCTCACCCCTTGTGCATTCCCCTTGTGCTCACCCCTTGTGCATTCCCCTTGTGCTCACCCCTTGTGCATTCCCCTTGTGCTCACCCCTTGTGCATTCCCCTTGTGCTCACCCCTTGTGCATTCCCCTTGTGCTCACCCCTTGTGCATTCCCCTTGTGCTCACCCCTTGTGCATTCCCCTTGTGCTCACCCCTTGTGCATTCCCCTTGTGCTCACCCCTTGTGCATTCCCCTTGTGCTCACCCCTTGTGCATTCCCCTTGTGCTCACCCCTTGTGCATTCCCCTTGTGCTCACCCCTTGTGCATTCCCCTTGTGCTCACCCCTTGTGCATTCCCCTTGTGCTCACCCCTTGTGCATTCCCCTTGTGCTCACCCCTTGTGCATTCCCCTTGTGCTCACCCCTTGTGCATTCCCCTTGTGCTCACCCCTTGTGCATTCCCCTTGTGCTCACCCCTTGTGCATTCCCCTTGTGCTCACCCCTTGTGCATTCCCCTTGTGCTCACCCCTTGTGCATTCCCCTTGTGCTCACCCCTTGTGCATTCCCCTTGTGCTCACCCTTGTGCATTCCCCTTGTGCTCACCCCTTGTGCATTCCCCTTGTGCTCACCCCTTGTGCATTCCCCTTGTGCTCACCCCTTGTGCATTCCCCTTGTGCTCACCCCTTGTGCATTCCCCTTGTGCTCACCCCTTGTGCATTCCCCTTGTGCTCACCCCTTGTGCATTCCCCTTGTGCTCACCCCTTGTGCATTCCCCTTGTGCTCACCCCTTGTGCATTCCCCTTGTGCTCACCCCTTGTGCATTCCCCTTGTGCTCACCCCTTGTGCATTCCCCTTGTGCTCACCCCTTGTGCATTCCCCTTGTGCTCACCCCTTGTGCATTCCCCTTGTGCTCACCCCTTGTGCATTCCCCTTGTGCTCACCCCTTGTGCATTCCCCTTGTGCTCACCCCTTGTGCATTCCCCTTGTGCTCACCCCTTGTGCATTCCCCTTGTGCTCACCCCTTGTGCATTCCCCTTGTGCTCACCCCTTGTGCATTCCCCTTGTGCTCACCCCTTGTGCATTCCCCTTGTGCTCACCCCTTGTGCATTCCCCTTGTGCTCACCCCTTGTGCATTCCCCTTGTGCTCACCCCTTGTGCATTCCCCTTGTGCTCACCCCTTGTGCATTCCCCTTGTGCTCACCCCTTGTGCATTCCCCTTGTGCTCACCCCTTGTGCATTCCCCTTGTGCTCACCCCTTGTGCATTCCCCTTGTGCTCACCCCTTGTGCATTCCCCTTGTGCTCACCCCTTGTGCATTCCCCTTGTGCTCACCCCTTGTGCATTCCCCTTGTGCTCACCCCTTGTGCATTCCCCTTGTGCTCACCCCTTGTGCATTCCCCTTGTGCTCACCCCTTGTGCATTCCCCTTGTGCTCACCCCTTGTGCATTCCCCTTGTGCTCACCCCTTGTGCATTCCCCTTGTGCTCACCCCTTGTGCATTCCCCTTGTGCTCACCCCTTGTGCATTC